GTTAGCCCTTGCCATCATAATTCATACTATAAGGAATCTTTTCAGAAATCCAAGTTTTCGAATCATACATGTTGCCATGACATGAAATTGTAATATGTTTTTTTGTTTCATAATCCTGACACGCAACTAAATGGTATGCTACAGTATAGTTAACGTTTGTTTTATACGTATTGTTTCATTCCAGCTGCACTATTTATTGATTTTCAGGTGTATTTTAAATGACTCTCTCCCACGAGTATTCGCAGAAATGATGAAAGACTGGTGAATTTTTAGAGTTGTGGATCTCAGACTAGTTTTATCTTTTCCCAGTATAACCGAGGAAAGTTATAATGAGTACCCTCTGTGTCTCATAAAATGTCATAACGTGACGTCACACTTAAGATCTGGTATATAATGTGCTTTGATGTAACCAATCACGTTCGGTAAATATAATAAATTTCCCTATCACTCTGTGTGAGATTTTTCTATTATAATTACTAATCCAAACATTATCATGATGACAGCGTGCTACTTCCCGGAAAATACAACCTATTTGCTTATTAGAAAAAGGATATTAGTTTAAATCTCAAAATTTAGGCTTCAAATTAACAAACATAAAACGCCGCATGTAAAATAGGAAAGAGTTTATTCAGCCTCAATATATACAATCACATCTGTTTTCTGATGTGGATTGCATGGTTAATTGTAGAAAAGCACTTATTAATTTGAGGTAACTTAAAATCTGCATTGCCATAGTAACTACAATACATCCGGGTATCTAACAGCAGACAACATATGTACACACGCACATAGCGTGGTTAGTAGGATGTTTGAATGGATTATTCGTTGCGCAGTTGCATAACTCTTACCAATACAATTACCCTAGTCAGAGCAAATTATATAATTAGTTTTCCAAAATACATTGAATGATAAAACAACAGAACCATAACATAGTATTACGTGATATTTCCAAATGGTGCCATGATAAAAACCTTTAGTTTTGAATTCCGTAATCTGTAGTGTACGTACAAAATTCTGTGAATATATAACAAACAATGGTGCTTCATATTTTCTCCAGGAATGAATGGGTGACAAATCGAAATAGTCAATCTATACTTTTTGATTCGTTATAACACAATGTTCCAATGTAGAGACGATACGTGAACATCGTCCAATCAATTATTTTTTGTAGTCATGTAAAATGAAAAATGAAATGTTTATTTATTTTGATCGCAACATTTATTGTTCACCATTTATGACACTTGAATTGTACAGTTGAGTTTGATAAAGCTAAGCGTACACATAGTATGAATAGTAATAGTATAAATAGTAATAGTGTAAATTATAATAGTATAAATAGTAATAGTGTAAATTATAATAGTATAAATAGTAATAGTATAAATAGAGTTAAAGTTGAAATAACATTCGATTATGGTAGTCAGATACCGCGTGTTGAGAATAAGATGAATTATGATTTATCGAACATATTGATCTTCCAATCCCAGATTTAATCTTTCGATGTACAAAGCAGAAGAACTACACATTTGTTTGTATCTCTCTTATTTCAATATATTATTTATCTAGTTCATTTAAGTAAATAAACAATTCTGTGCAAAATAATGCTGAATAGGTGCCTAACTAAATATCTGGTATTTGAGTAGTGCTGAGGGTATTCGTAGGGCTAGTAAATCAAGTAACACTCTCAATGTATGAAGAGCATGCCTTAATGATATACTCAAATACTAAACAGAATAAATAAAATATAGAATATGGAAACTACATGCGTTAAAGCGGTGCATTATACCGCCCATGAAACTCACAGCTAGGCTACATACGTTTATATATATACAGTTCTTATATAACGACGACATGGCATTTTCTATTATAAAATTGGTTGTTTGATTCACAAATACAAGGCGGTAAAAGTTCGAAAAGTGAATTAAGTAAGACAAGTTGAGCTTGTTCGTGGCGTCCTAGAATAATTCATCTCGATGTCGCTACTTTTAGACATCTACTTCTTTTGAAACAACCACGAACCGTTTTTTTCTGCTACACATCTTGAATATATTTTTTAAATGTCGAATTCTGAATTTGAATACATCTATCAAATTATGAATTTATATACGACACGGCACCTATTACTTAGCCACAAAATCATATACAACTTAACATTGTCGTCAAGAACTTATATGATTTTAGATGCTGTACGTAGACACTCGCAGCCGTTAAATATAAATTCATTTAATGTGACTGGCCGTTTTTTTTAGACATTCAAATAGACTTTTTCTATGAGTTTTAGGATATCAAATCTTATGCATTTTATTTTTATGTGTATTTTGACCAACATCAAGTATTACTAATTTGCAAACTTGGCAATGATTCATGTTGCAGGTTCAACTCACTCTATGCACATGAACTAATTATAATTATAAAACACACTCAATGGAATCTATGCATGTCCATACTGTTTTGGTAATAGTGTTTGGATGTGAAATCATACATTCAAGAAATATTTTATATTAAATATTACAGAACAGGATATAAAGAACATTGGTTACAATGATGAAAAATGAACGTAAGTTCAAATAAATTGAAATCAGAATCTGATATCATATATTTTAACGTATTATAAACAGTAAACTGGATATAGAAAATGACACAATTGTGTGACAAAACTTAAAACCATTTAATTTATCATTTGAAATAAGGTTATTTTCAGATTCTCGCATCGTATGTTGAAGGTGATGTTTATCAACTCATTGAATGTTCTCAAAAGCAAAATATTCGATATGTTTTTCATTGTTAACATTTCTGCAAAAATATCAATAGTCATAGCTACCACCTAGAATCTTCAGATGATTCCCGGATGCTAACACCCGAATCACGAGATATTTCCTTAAGAAAATCAATTTTAATGTTAATCAACAACAAGTATTTCAATTGATTTGGTGGTAAGCAACAAGTTTAGTTTTTTGCACTGTCAATGCATCAACTTTGAGGTATTCTCATTATAACCTTATTATTATACATCTTTTCCTTCGTAGGAAACATCGCGGAAATGCCGAAGTCCAAAAAGTTTAGAACATAATCAGCGAGTCTGGTTAAACCCTGTTGGCAGTCATGTTCAAATCGCTTCATATTTGAAATTCACATTTCCTTATATGGTAGAATGAAAATACCCCGTAAAATACTATAAAACTTATGACGTTACAGTGACAGATGTATAATAATTTTGAGTACGAGCTGTACGTGACGTCACATATTCATCTTCTCGGTGTCTACGTAACATGAACAACACCGAGTGTTATCGATTTGATGCCGTCTTTAAAATCAGAAACAACTCCTCGTAACGTTAACTTCGTTCTAGTTATTATTCTCCGAGGCCGCCTAATTGTGCCTGATAACTATACTTTATGACGTTTGTGTTGGGTCTCCAATTGTTATTTCGCCTTCGTTCTTCTTTTTGCAGAATAACCGAGTGATTCCTTTCTTAAATTGTTTATACTGTATAGAATAAATGATGGGGTTGACGCACATATTACAGAGAGAAAACACAACGGCAACAAGGTAAAAGTTATCCCCGAAAGTTAGGGGCATTCCACAAGTATATAGAATATTGTAAACAGTCATTGGAAACCAGCAAACTAAAAATGTAATAAAAACAATACAGAGCGTTTTCACGACATTTTTTCGCGCTTTGTCCCACTTTGCTGTGCGGTTTGCGTCGTGTGGGTGGCTGGAAATTGTATTCAGTGGATCATCTGGGCTCACCTTGGCTTTTAGGGCTATCCAGATTTTGATATATGCAAAGGCCATCACTCCCAGTGGAACTATTGTCTGTACCATGGTGTCAAAAAACAGCATAACACGACTGGTTACCGGATTTTCCATTGATGTAATACAGTAATCATCCTCTTGAACAGACAACACAATCCAGTATGACATGTATATCGCGGCTATGAGCCATTCGGCTAAGAACACCATCCATAACTTACCCCGACTGAACTTATTACGGTGAACTACTGGATGCACGATACCAAAAAATCGCTCGAGAGATAACGCTACTAAGTTGAAAGAAGACACGGTTACTGGTGTCCAGATGAAGAACTCCGACCAGTACAGTCTACAGAATAGAATAGCAGATATGCTTGTAGGGTCGATGTAAAATTTAGGACTGAGGTACTGAAACGAAAATGCTAAAGTCGATAGCAAGTCGACTAACGATTGATGTAAAAGAAAATAGTTGGTAAGCGTTCGGAGTCGTTTAATTCTTGAAAAAATGATTAGAACAAGAACGTTGCCAACCACACTTGTTATGGCAACAAAGTAGTATATGACGGTCAAATAAACAGGAGCGTCTTTCCATGTCCAGAAATCATATTCATAACTGTAGCTAGTCCACGAATCGTTGTAATCCATAATGCAACGTCTGTATACATACAGTCAGTCAATCTTCACTGCCTCATTTATCGATGTGCAGATATACTGATCTGGAAATTGTAAGATTTTAATGTTTGGTTAATATAGAATAATCTATATGCATTGATATAGTTCTTGCACAATCCGACACATTCAAATCAACTCAGCGGTTCCACTTTGATGGTGTTACGATGCACGGTACATATTATGTTACCATACACAGTTTATGTGTACATGATAATATACTGAATGAAAGTTTTCTACGGTGTCACGTGTCTATTTAGCAACACTACTCTTATATAGCGGACTAACTTATACTGACTGGCTGACTGACTATCTAATAGACTGGCTGGCTGGGGCGGGCTGGGTTTATACTGGAGCAGAGACAATAACGTAGTAATCCGTGTATCATGCGTTAACTCTGGCATTCCAAATTCATAAATTAATGAGATGATTGTCAGCATTATCACGAATTCTTAGTGACTGACGTATATTTGTGCATAGAGCATATTTATTTTACTGGACAGACTATATGTTAATTTTATGTTATTTGTAAAAATATACAATGGACAATGTTGAGTTCAGATGAAACACTACAAGACCCAACCGGAGTTGAAGAAGGACTACAAGGCCTGGATACAGTAAAGAAATGGATTCCAACCAAAACACTGGGTGGCCCTTTGAGATTGACGGAGCGCTGAACGGGGCTAATCAATGTTGGAAGATAAAGTGCTGCTGCAGCTAAAAGACGTAATGGAATTCATTCCAACTCAAACACTCAATTATTCAGTCGGAAATGACAAAGCTCTACAAGCGATGTAAAGTCGAAATAACAACACACATAACTGATAAGAGTTTGATTCAGACTGTATTTAATATAAGATTATACAGCATCTTTTGTTGTATGTCAATTGAATTTTGAGTGAAATAACCAGCATGTTGAAAACATTTTTAATTTTCAAATCGAACAAAAAACGACCGAATAGTTAGCAAAATTATGTGTTAAAAATGTCTTGAGGGAACAAATGTCTAAATGCCCCCTTAGGATTCCAATATGATTAAAAGGTTCGACGTGCAAGATTGCGTCACACACGTACAGTAGGACATAGTCTAGCAGAATTTGATACACTGTATTTTTTATTGGCTTAGAGTTAACAGTGGACACAGCATAATTTGTGGAAATTATATCCGTCAATTTTCAAAACGAACAAGCCAATGCCAATCTATTACACAAACTAGTCCATTGTAGACATATTTGATAAATATTTTTAAAAGCGGGTTACATAAATTACTTGCAAATATGTGATATGGCGGTAGTGTATTTGTTGTACGCTTACACAATAGAACATGACGTAGCACTGATATGTATATCTCTGTGTAGCAGTGCAAGTATAGAAAGAAAAATTAAAATTCTAGATACATGACAGACAGACCGATATTTTTTACTAGTGTAAGTATATCGCATACACTCACTATAAAACACGAAACTAGATTTCGCCCGTGAGTTTTGGTGAATCTTAGTGCCTACATTGAACATTATAAAAAAATATTTATTTTCATATTGGATTCAAAATTGTCGACTTGTTGCCATTTTGTTTTATTGGTTACTGTTCATATTTCGGACATGCCCAGAATGGTAATTTAGTACATTTACGCTGAACGTCTATCGTTCACCGAATCCTGCGATTTACTTTCTAGATGAATGAATGGCAACTTCTCAGCCGCTATAGATTTACGAGAAACACATGGTCGTAAATCTCGCATATATGAAAACATTTTCAAACTTTTTATCATTCTCTGAGACACTGAGACGCATTGCAAATTTCTGTAAAATGATCGAACATTTCGAGCGGTGAAGGTAGACGGTATAACCGACAGTTTATAATATGACCGTTGAATGGTATATGCATTGCTATATTGTATGCACGCAAGTATGATCAAACTGATTTTAAGTTGCACACAAAATAATAATTATGATGATATATGGTCTCAGAGGAAATTCACAACAAAATAAAAAGATATATAATATATATGTCTCAAAATACAAGAATATCTTTGATCTAGATACATTTTCATATTTTATTTACCTTATATATATAATTCAATCACATTTTGTCGTTAACTGATTGCTCTGAACTCTAATTCTCCCTAAAAGTAAGTATGAGCAAATGTATAACATTACTGAAAAAAATATGATAATTTTGTGATTTCCGCTATTCCAATATAGACTTTATCTCGTTTTATGTCCCTATATAAACAATGACTCGCATATGCTATGACATGCTATTTTTAGCATCACATCATGAATGGTACTTTTAAGCACTGTTGCTATCGGTAATGGTTGTTACGGCATGATAGACTATGTCTCAAAACATGTACACAGCAGAGTTAAATATTTAAATGAAAAAGATGATTTTTTCACTTTTTCTAATGGGGTCTTTATTCATATTTTTTAATCACAAATAAATATTTGTGAGCCATTATTAAAGAAGATTTTCTGAATAATTAATAATAATGTAACTGAATTGCAGCAATACGTTCTCTATGTGTATAATAAACAGATGGTTGGATATATACATACATTACTAATGCAAAGCCATATACATACACCAAATATACTAGATCAGCAGTCATATAAGAACATATAAGTAATAAATCAACCATACTCGTAGTTCAAGAAGAAGTCGAAAATAATGTTACCAAAAATGCCAAAAAATATTCACTGAAATAGAGAATTACTGATATATTCGCGAAATGAACAAATCTGACACTGGTCCACTTATGTCATCTACATAATATGTATCGACGCGATTAAGCTTGTAGCTTTCAAGAAGTATTCGCTATAATAATGTCCTTACAAAATGAGAAAAACGAATAGAGGCTAAAGTAACTGTAATTAAGTATTCAAAAAAATGGGCAGTTAGCTTACAAGAATAAGTTAAAACATGTCATTTTTTTACCCAAAATAAAAAAGTGTCTCTTATTAAAATTTACTAAATAGGATACTCACAAAGCACGTACTCACTAGTTGCTATGTCCACGTGACGTAGTAGATCACTGTTAACAAAATAGAGAACTAACCACCGTAAACCACTATTTATTTTCGAAGGCAATTCTACCACTTTGTTCTGTCGGACTAAAACTCAACAAAACAGATTTCGGAGTTCTCCACAAAAAGATCAATTTGAAAACCAAAACAATTACGAAAAAATGTATGGATCAGGATTTAAACTATTTAGAATTCTGCACCTCTCAAACAAATTCGCCAAAACAAATTTACATGATTGTAAAATATAAAAAACATTTCTGTAATTCTTTATGCACGTAGAAAACCTCCAGTATTTTATATATGTTGATAAATGCAAACCACAGTATAACTGTCTCACAGGTATATGCTCAAAAGATATTAACAAATTAATACAATGCAGTTTTCGGAATATCACGATTTCCAAATGTGACCTTTCACTTACTCAATTAAAAAAATCTGTCGAATAAAAAGCTAATATGATAAACACCAAAACACGACTAAACAGACTTTAAGGTTTCTCCCTAAGACGTTTTCGCATATTTTGGCCCCCAAAACTACACCTAAATTTGTACATTACGTGAAATATATCATTACACTTCCCGCAAACACATTTGTAAAATGTAGTCGAACTGGACTTTTCTTTATTATTTAGTTCATTGAAGACAATAAACAATATCATTTTTTGTAAAGGGTTGTTGTCATGGTGACTGGAAGTATGATATTTGATAATTTACTAATGCCTTTTTTTTCAGCCAAGCTGACAAAAAACGCACTTTCAAGCATGGTTGCTATGGAGACGCACGACACAAATATTCTGCAACTTAGTTAATTGGATCAAATTTGTGAATTTAAATTTGCGTAACTCAATGAATGCTAAAGCGCTCTATGTGGCCATATGTTTTACTTATGCAAAATCCAAATACACACAAACCTATACGAAGAAACTGTTACATTAAACCCCATTCTGACTATATATGGAAGGGTTACCTTCCAATGAGTATACAATTGATCTAGTACAAATTCGATCATAATGTCTATAATCAGCTTACAGTCAACACTTCGGACAAGAAATCCAGTAAACCATTTTTCTACAATTAACAACTAGGAATATCATAGTACTGATTATATGTCAAATCTATAACCTGGGTATCAGTCAGGATTTCTTTGAAAACCTATACAGGTTTGAAGGCAGAGAAGTAAAAAACTAGCATCTTTAATTTGAATAGCCATATATGTAGAATTCTGTCCAGGGCACTTCACGAACATATTATTTGAGTGTGCTTACATTGATATGTTAATGGACACACACATTTTACAAAAAAAGGAAACTATTTCAATTCCATGTAATAGAAATGGCATAATTGCTTGTAACGTTCGTGTTAT